TTGGTCGGCTTCAGATGGGCAGCATAGAGATACACTGCAGCTACTAATAACAATATTAGCCATAATGATAGAAAGACATATATTGAAATGAAGAAAGCTGGCAAAAGTATTGTGGGTCTACTGTTACTTCAGCCATATTGTTCTAGTGTGAATGTTAGCATGGCCTAATTTTGGGGGTCCCAGTGTGAACTTGCACTATTATGAGACCCTTCCAATATACAAACCACAATTCTTCAGCATGAACTTTTACAGACAGCAGATGGACTCACGTTACTGGGGAAGAAAAACAAGCTCCGTTATTTCCCCATTCCATATATGCTGTTTGTGCATCAGTGAATTATAGACATGGTGTGCCATGCCATCTGAAGTCAAGCAAGTATGAGGGGTTTACAAACCACCCTGGGATCCTAAAAAAAGCCATGGGATCTGGGGTGGTTTCTAAATTTACCTGAGTCCCACCCTTGCCAGGTTCAGATGATATGACAAACCACACCTGGAAAGGTTAATTATGGTAATTTGGTGGAGCACAACTTGCATGTGCAGACTGGGAAAACAAGCTATGGGGTGTGCACGCGTTACTTTCCTTCCTGATCATGCAAATCTGGTCATGTATCTCTACTAAAATAGTTTTTATCTTTTCATTTTTCATCTACTTTGCTAATGTGTTGCTTGAACAAAACTGTGGGAAGATCTCTGCTGAAAAACTCAGGTATTACCTGCTAATTTGTTTTAGTTCTCTTTGCTTCACCTCTGACTGCCTTATCAATCTGACTGCCTGATGTATATTTATAGTCAGACCTGGCAGCGTGGTGTTTGGGTATATATATGTATGCTAAACATATATTTTGGGCGTGTGAATTCCACCAGAAACTGTGGTTCTCACTGACCCTGAGATGAATATTCCTGATTATCATGGCACTAGATTTCTCCCAACAGCTGTCCTGCCTTTGCACAATGAATTTTGGAACTGCTGTTCTTGAAAGCACATGTCAAACAGAAAAGAGTAAGTCTTGCTGTCTCTTAAGCTACAATTCCTGGTTTCACTGCACAAGCCATACTTTCCTTTTTCCTAGAAGAAGTCAGCAAAATTCAGAATATTGGTTCTTATGCTTCTGACTGGCTCAAGTGAATCTCACAAGATCTGGCCAATAGGAACACAGCACAAGGAAACAAGTGTCCATAGTCATCCTCAAGCATGACCTGAAGTTTCTTCATAGTAATAGGCTGCAACTGGGTTGGCCACATGCAAAAAGAGAATAGTTGAACCTCTATAGTTGTATAGAGGAGGGAATTAATCTAAAACAGGTGTAGGAACCCTGACCTCTTTTCATTTGGCCACCCTAACTACACTCTCTTCTGGGCAAAGTTCCCTTCTGTTCCCTCTTTCCAAAATGCTTGGCCTCCACATGTTAATACAAGCACACACAGAGACACAGACACAAAGAAACAGGAAATTCTGCAAGGCAATATCATATATTGTCAGTGCTCTACTTTCCAATGGGTTGGTTATATATACAGTACATCCACTGTGATAGAAGTGCCTTTCAGACAGAGTAAGAGAGACCCCTTTGACTGATGCTCTTCACCCTTTGCACTTGGGAATGGGAGGTGGGACTGCTTTTAATTGGTGTTACCTCTTGTGTTTTCACAAATGTGGACACCTACCCCATGTTATTTTAAAGATGCTCCTGAGTTATGAATAATTACAATTCAGCTACACTGCTGAAGCTGTACTCTTCTTCCCCAGAAATATGCAATGCCTGTTGGAAGGACTTTCTGGCTTTGGAAACCTTGGTTGCTGATGCTAATGTTGTCTTATCATAATTAAACTATGGGTTAGAGCACTGCAGCTGTGCTGTTAAGTAATATCAATAGAAGTTTGGGAGGACTAATCCTACGTCTTCCATGGATAATTATAATGTCTGCGTTTTAATCCTGGGATTGTATTTGGCCCATATGAAGGACATAATGGCTGTACAATTCACAAAAAACACTAAACCGTGCTTGAAAGGTTCTGGGGGTGGGGACCCTCTTCTTAAAATTTTCCTTGTGTTGCTTGGAATTTCAAAGCAAAGTTGGCTGCAAGGTAATTAGTGGATGCTGATCTATGGTGCTGAAGTGCAGTCCCTTCTTATACAGGGTTTCCCTTCTGAGAACACAGTCTACATTTGCATCAACTTAATTTCAAACCTCTGAGATTGAGGATGGGCAAATAAGCTTCTTATGAATTGGCCACATCTACTGTATAACCGAGCCTGGATTAACGAGGCAGGCGAAGGCCTCTTTGTCTGTATCACTTCCTCTGCCGAGGATGCTGTATGGCATATGGGTCATTATGAGGAAATCGGATGTCATGTGGCATGCACCTCTGTGCCTTTTAATGCAGAACTACGAAGATGGCAGTGACTAGATCAAGAGAAAGAGCTCTGTTCAGTGTAGGAGTCACAGGATGACCTCTGGATGTTTCCGTTTCACCTTTCTGAAAGGTTATCATTATGATATTGTTTGGTTGATGTGGTATTGTTAGGTTGTATATACTATTTCAGAGTATATACATATATAAGAAAGTCAAGTTCCAGATAGAAGAGCACATGAATACATGCATAAAAATCCTGCAGTTGCAGTCTGTTATGACATAACAACCTGATGATGATGACGTGCTGCCGGAAAAACATGATTTGCCACACGCAGCCCAATATGAACATCCTCACACATAGTTGCTCCAGCCTTGGAGTAACCACCTTGTATCAAGCCAGACCTCTCCAGGCATCCAGGCAGCCTTTTTTTTTAACTCTTACCTGGAGAAGCCAGGCATTGAACTGGGGGCCTTCTGCATCATCATCCTCATCATCCTCACCATCATCATCATCATCATCATCATCATCTTTATACCTCACGTATTCCCAGTGACTGGGGCTCAAAGAAGCTCCATGCAAAGCAGGTGCTCCATCTCTGAGGATCACAACAGCCATGTCATTAGACAAAGCTTTGGATTAAATGTATATATTTAAAAAAAAATACAAATAACAGCCACCATGTATAGTACTGATCAAACTCACAGCAGGCAGAGAAGGGGGAGTGCAACTCTTTGCAGTCCTGGCAAAAATTACTCTGAAGACGTTCCAAAGAAGCTGTTTGCACTGGGAAAAATTCCCACACCGGCACTCAAGCAAACAGCTTTTCCATAGGAACTATTTTTTATCAGGATTGGGAAAGGTTAACTCTTTCTCTTCCTGCCTGCTGCCGTCTTACTGATTCAGCTTTTTATACCCATCCCTAGGCCTCTGTTTCAGTTTTTTTTTCTTAAAAAAAACCTCCTGTACATTAAATCCAAATGCCAGTTTAACATTGTATATGCATTGGCCCTGAGCTATGCACATAATATATCATGCAGAGTACCCTGGACATGTCCCCTGATTCTCACAGGGATTCCTCCTAGGTAAGGCTGGATAGGATTCCAGTTTAAGCATGCAGCTAGAAGATGAATGCAGCAAACATAGCTTTCACATGCATTCATTATGCAAGTACGCTCACTACGGAGCCAGAACTGTCTCACACACTGATGGACCCAGGCTTTGCTCTGCAGAATATGTGAAATGGCCTTAAGGTCCATGAATCCTGTGCACACTTATGCAGGTCTCTTTCAGATCACCAGCGATTATAAATACCATGCCCCTAATTTCAGCTAGCTGTTACAATATAGGCGCTGTGGGCATTATAGAAGCACAAATGATGAATTATAATAGCCACAATAAACCTAATTAACAACCTGGTGTTTTTATCTTTGTAATTAAATCTAGCTGCCATAATGATAACCACTCTGGAAATGCTGCTGCTATTCTATTATGCACAACAAAGATTAACTTATGCTTGTATTTTTAACCTCTGACCTGCCTGTTGGCTTGCAGACCGCTTGCTGCCAGTCGACAGCATCTGGCTGTTACGGTGAAAGCTCCATGGCTCCCTTTCTGCAGCCACAGAGCAAGCCCCAGTTTCCTGCAGCAGCAAGCAGCCACAGCTGCGAGTGGGGTGTTTGCGTGAGAGATACATCTTGATCCACAATCCATCGATGTTCAGCTCTTAAAGTTCAGTGCATGTGTGCATGCTATCAGTAACCTTAAGAGCAAGGCACAACCCCACTGCCATGATAGTTTATACTAGCCTATGGCTTCTAATTTACATTTTTGCAAAAAATGTCCAAACACACAGGCTCTGAGCTAGGGTACAAATAGGAAGGCGACTTCATTGTTTATTGAATGTATATGACACCTCTCTGACAATCAAGTGGACTCACAATTGAAATGGATGGAATGCAACTTCAATTCAAAATGAAAACGCACCAGAAAGGAAGTACTTTCAGGTGCCAAACTGATATTGAATACAGCAGAGACAGCTCCTTATTTGAGAAGGCCCTGTCATGGGACTCTTGGGTCTGGTCCAGAAGTAGCAGGTTGGATAAGAAATACCCGCTGACTTGATGCAGGGGGCCTTGCCATGTCACTGTGCTGGATGGATATGGGGCAGCGGCAGGGAAAAACTGATATGTGGATCCTGGTGAGATACAGTAGGTCGTAAGTGAAGTCTGCATAATCCACTGTTTGGACCAACAGCAAAGCATCTGATTGATGGGGCTGGCGGTCTTTTCAATATGATAATGAACCTGAAGAGGGAATTTCCACAGATGCAGGTTGTTTTGCCATGACATGAAAAGCACACTTGTGGAAATTTGCTCTTCCACATAACCCTAAAAGGTTAAGGAGTTCTTTGTCCTTTTACATCCATCTACTGTAGCTTCAGTGTGGTACTAAATCCTGGCATAGTCCTGGGAATTCCTAGATGTTATCCCCAGATGCAGCTTGCATTCAGATATCTCCCAAAGTATCAAAACTGAATGGCTGTGAAATAGTCAAGCACCAGTGTAACGTACTAATCCAAAATAACGGGTCTTCCCGGTCCCCATGAACAAACTTGTTTTACTGTGATCTATGACTACAGATTACCTGAGAGTATCTCCACTTCTGGCACTTGATGCTTGTTGGTTTAGGCAAGTGAGGTATAATATCTTTCAAATGGTTTAGAATCAACTGCTGCACCTTCTCCTTGTCCCACTCCAAATGTCTGGTTCCAAAGGACACACTGGTGTGGACAACAATGGACGGGCCAACATCAGATGATTCTGCAAGAGAGAGGAAAGGTGTCAGGATCTGGGTTGTTCTGGTAGCCAGAACCAGAACAATCATCACCACTGTAGTTGCAGGCTCAGTCCTAAGGTCTGCTGGATCTCTCATTCTGCTGACAGAGACCAGCTGGGAGTCCTAGAACAAGCTCTTCTCTCTAGCAGTGGTGGTCCTCCTGTTTTGCTGTGGGACTTGCTCTGGGTTCCTACTTTGTTTCCTGCCTTGCCATGTTGCTTTAGCAGCAGAGGTTCTCCTGTTTGCTGCAGTAGCCACCCCCGACTTACTTTTCCTGCGCCTGGTTCCTGTGGTGTATCTTGCATCTTGCTTTGTCTCCTGCCTTGCCATGCTGCCTCAGCAGCACTGGTTGACCAGTTTGCTGTTGTGCATGACTGTTCTTGCTCCTGCCTTTTCATGTTGCCTTGCTGTTGTGCCTGCCTCTTACCTGACCCTGCCTTGCCATGCTGCTTCAGTAACACAGGGCTTCCTGTGAGCTGTGGTTCAGCTCCTGCACCTTGTCTGACCCTTGCTGCATCTGGTTCCTATTTTGTCATGCATCTTGCCTTGCTGAGTCTCGTGCCCCATTACCATGTCTAAGATACCTGCACTTCTGACGGTCCTAATGTTTCTTGACCCTTGGCTTGTTCCTGACCACATCCTGCCCTCGTGCATTCTTCTGGTTCCTTATCTTGGTCTGTACCAGGTCTATGATTTGGACTCCTCATTAAACCCTGCTTTTGGACTCTGCTTTTCCTGAAGTTCTGTTGCCCTGGTCCTGGTGCCTTTTTGCTCTTGTCTTTCCTTGTCTCTGGCTGCCCATGTCCTGGCTGCAAACCCCGACAAAAGGTTTCTACAACTGGCACAATATGATTTTCAGAGAGTTTCCCACTATCCATGTCCATCAATGTAGTAAGTATAGCTGTTCTAATTGCAATTTTAAACCTTTCAGCCAAGGATGTCTACCTTCCCAGGAAGCAATGACAACTCCACAGGGAGTACTGGTAAAAATTCAGAAGAACCTTTGGCATCTTAAATGTGTCTGTAAGGAACAAACTGGGGCGTAGATAGAATCATAAAATAGCCCAGTCACTAAGGTCATCAGAAGACCTTGTCATTCTACACGGACCTGAGGTCTACTTAAAGTCCACTTGGAAGCAATCCTTTGGAGTATCGGCTTCCAATCTATGGAACCTTCTGCCAGTCAATGACAGGTAGGTGCCAAGACTTTCTTTGTTTTCCCAACATGTGCTAAAGGTATTTTTATTTAAAGAAGCTTTTCCTGAACTATCAGCAAGTCCTACTGATATAATTTGTATATCAGTATAAATAAATCTTTTGATTTATTTGTATTTTGATTCTTCTTTCCTACACAATTTACTACCAAGGAATCCTTTTAGCTATAGAGCAGTTTATAAATAAATATAATTATTCTGTTAAGTAAATGTTCTAATTTGTTTTTCCCTTAAGAGCATTTAATTCTTCACACAGTCTAGTCAGAATTTCAAAGATTTTCAATCCATTTAAAGACCCAGAAATATCTCAGCAGAAACCTCCAATTCAACTTCATGTAGTGTTACCACCAGATATAACAAAAGATGGTTTGGAGTTTTGTAAAAGGCATTTTTGGCAGATGCTGCCTTCCTCACTCTAATGTTCCTGGGACGTGATTGGTTGCATCTGCTGAAATCGTCACTTTGGAATGGCTATAAAAGAGCCCCGTCTTTCATTGCATCTCGTCCTTCCAGCTTTTAGCCTCCTCTAAAGCAGCACTGGCCTGAGCAAATTTATGACTTTTTCAAAAGTCTTCACAGGCAACTCAGGTTGCGGTCAGATGACCATTTTTCAGAGACATGCAAGTGGCAAGATATGGCGCCATCACTGTCCACAGACTTGTACACTCATTTCCCCCTCAGTCTTCGCGTATTATGGCTTCTGATCAGACCCCTTTCATGGAAGCCATGGAGAGGCGTGAAAGCCACTATGGGGTAGTTGTTGGAATACTGGTCTAGGACCAAGGAGGCAAAGGCTTCAGTTGCTACTCAGCCATGAGCCTCACTGCATCTTGAGCCAGATGCACTCCATCAATTCAACCTACATAATAGAGCTGTTGTAAGGACAAAATAAGGAAGGTGAGAGTCATGTCAGCTGTCTTGAGCTTCTTAGAGGAAGGGTGAGATACAATATCAAATGTAACTTAATTGATTGCGTTTGTCACTGATGCAGAAGATGGATTCTCTTGACCTTTTCTTGGCTGGTCCCTCCAATTTCTTTCCTTTGCCCTTGCTGTTCAAAACACCCAGGTCCTTGCTTACCACAGTAGGTGAAAGTGTCTGTGTGTAGATAAAGGCTATGATAGTGCCAGCAGGATGAATTATGGATGATCTTCTCTTTCTGCACTGGACATTTTTTGAGAAGTGGTTCCAATCTTGGATCCCATCCTTTGACCATTGACCATGTTGAAGGTGATAAGAAATCACAAGATTTCAAAGGTATGAGGAGATTACACAGGGTGAAGTGATAGTTTCAGAAAGACTTAAAGTATAAGATCTATCAGGCTGTTTCAAACATACCTTCTTCCTTACATTTGTTACTGGCTCCACTGAAACAGAGAATCCTTCAAGCCACTCAGGGATGCATTGGACCTAGTTTGTGAAATGTATGCATTATTTATTAGCCAGCACACTTTTATCTCAGTTTGTCACCAAAGGCATACTGGCAAGGTTGTGTGGCCCAGGAGTAGCTGAAAATGTGAAAAGGGGAAGTTGAAGATGGGAAAAGGAGAAGAAAAGGAACGGTGGGATCGGTGAGAGGGACACCATGCTTGCTCAGCAAGAAGCAATAGCAGTGAAGTTGGTTTTGTTGGGATGGCAGCAGAGAACTTTGTGTGACCTAGAATGAAACTGAGACTGTTATGAATTTAATGCTGAAGTGATTAGAGTAAGGGTGTTCTTAAAATAATGGTTATTCGTGGATGCTGAAGTTCAAAAACACATGGAGCAAAATCAGATTTTGAAGTTGATGACAATGTTTTTGGAAAAACATCACAGCTAAATTCTGTGAAAACAGTGGTACAGTGAAGTGTGGAAGCTTAACCACTCCCCTCCCAAGTGATATAATAGGATTATGTCTTCCTGCACTTTGTGTATTTGATGTGCTTTCTACATTTTGCTTAGTATGTGTCTTATCTAATTGTAGCACACAACTAATTTATCACTAGGAAATGTTAAACAGGCTTGTATTTCTGGACTTATTTTGGAGCCAAAATGTAAACAGGGTTCAAACTTTTGGTACAGCACCAGCTCTGTTGTGTATGACCACCATGATATTCTAGAAGTGAACCTAACAAACTTGTTACTGCTCAAAGGCAGAGACAGGAACTATTTATCAGGAATCAGATACTGATGATGCCACATTATCACTGCCCACTGTAAAAAGATGGCAGATGCTAAATGGAGAATAAACAAACAGAATCAGCAAGTCTAACTCAGGCGAATAGGCTTAGCAGCAATGAAGGGAGGATGGAAAGGAGAGGGAGCAACAGTGTTAGAGCAATGAGGAGGAGGGGCTTCTTCTTCGTGATCTTAGCTGTAGAAGACCTCCTGGAACCAGCAGACTTCTGCCTGCCTATTGCCAGCTAAGGGATCTTTCAGCAACCTTTTAAGAGCTGGAGTAACAAAATTGTATTTGGTTAGATGAGTTTGTCCCTCTGTTCAACCAAACGCAAGGATGTCTGAGTTGTGCCGATGCACTTGTAACTCTTCCTTCTTCTCTTCTTTTATCCATCTCTTTTCAGTTTATAGGGATCCATTCCATCCTCTTTTTACTGTTAAACTCTAGCTTGCTTCTTTCCCATATGCTTTTTCCTCTTCCTCACTGAATCATCTGGAGCGCTTTCTTCTGGAGGCATTTTCCCATGGCGTAGTTGCATGCTGAGTGAGGAACATTTTGCTCCCTGCTGCATGGGTTGACAGGTTTCTGCTGTGTCTCAGGTCACCCAGCTGCAGGCCCTTTTGCCCCTTCCAACTATTGCCAACTTCCAAAGGGATTCTGTTACTGCTGTCTTTTTTCTCTTCTTCTTTTACTCCTCTTCCTTCTACTGCAAGCATATTGTGAGAAGTAAATGTCTTGATGTTTATCATCCCCACTATATCTTTTCTCTTCTTCTGTCTCATGCACTAAAAATGCTTTTGCTAAACTGGAGCTCCTGGGATGCAAGCTTGTATCATCCAAAAAGAAATGATTTTAAAAATTCTTCACATTCTTCACATTATTCCATTCATATAAAAATCTATGCTGTTTCATTTAGTTCATTAACCAATTATTAATCAACTAAGTTTTGCTTTAAGTCTAGACATATTTATGGACCTTGTACTGAAACACAAAGCTGGGAGACACAGTCTGGGTACATATTTCTTTTTTAACCCACCCACCCAGTGTGATTTTTAAATTTTAAATTAAATTTCCAAAAAATGTTTGTAATAAAATTGTGAAGATGCTCTCTTAGAAAATAAGTTAAGGTTAAATAATTTTGACATACATTTTAACACTACAATTAATTTCTAAACTGAATTAGTTCTTTCTAATGGACATTGAGTTATGGGAGGCATTTATGTGAAAATAACAATACAATCATTTCTCAAATATGAATATTTGTATTCTACAGGCCAAGTATAGGCATTCCATTTTAACCTTACAAAAATTTAACTGGACTACGTTGCCCAGTGATTGTCAGCCCCTGCTTGGCCTAATCAGTTAAGGGTATTGCATTCATGTTTGTTCTTGTGTTTTCTTTCTTCACCTGGCAAACTGTCATACTTGCCAGGCCTAAGAAGAATACGTACAAGTTATGACAACTAGATGTAGATGATTACAAGAATGGCACAATATGAGTAATAGCAATTTGAATTATAAATTAATCAGAGTTAGTGGTCAGATCTGCACCTTTGTTTAGGAAATATATGAAAAAAATCAGACAAGCTTGATTTAAATCAAAGCTTTAAAT